TTTATTGTATCTCTTTATATTTGCAGGAGTCTTGTAATGGGTGTAAGACAAGTAATATTTTTCTCCAAACATTGAGAGTGCACACACAACACTGACCAAGCAATCCATACGGGATTTGCTACATATTTTAACTATCCTACTTTTGTAATATCTAACAAGTGGTATCAGAGCCTAGCGATGAGAGACAACCCAGAGACGGATATGGTGTCCAACAGTTCCTTTCCAGTGCCCAAGTTGATGAAAGAAAAGTATAGGATGTGATTGAGGTGTCGTTGGGATCTGTTGATATATGGGACCTGGTTGAATGTAGGTAAGTAGAAGCAGAAGATGAAGAAGTTAATGTGGAAAGATAGAATGAGTTGAAGAAAAGGGAAAAGAATGCTTTGTTCACAATCTATCAAGGTGTTGATGAAGAAGATTTTGAGTTGATATCCACTGCTCAGACATGACTGTAGTCCTCGACGGCTCAGTTTGAGGCATCGAGCCATGGTGAGACAGAAAATATTGCAAATTACTTCTCTCGTGTTATAGTCATTGCGCATCAGATCCGAAGAAATGGAAAGGAACTAGAATATGCCAAAATTAATCAAAAAATATTGAGGTCACTACATCTGAAGTATGATTTTGTAGCAGTTGCCATTCAACAGTCCAAAAATGTGGAAGAGATGACGGTAGACGAGTTGTTGGGTTCACTCCAAGCCTATGAGCACATGTTTATGAGAAGATGAGACGATAGTTCTTTGGAACAAGCTCTCCAAACCAGTCTAAAAAATTCAAGAAAAATGATGCATCAAGGGGGGAACACAATGTGGAAGATTTCAGCCATGAAGAGAAAGAGAAGGACGAGGAAGGTGACAAGGATGTGGCTGTGGGAAACATCACATTTGGTGATTTATCAAAATGCTCAATTGAAGAAAAAATAGATATAGCCCTCAAATTGCAATCTGGTAGGCAGGTACTCATTTCAGATGTTTATTTTGTGTCTAAAATTAAAAGCAATTTGCTTATTATTGGACGGTTGCTTGAAAAGGGTTATGATGTCAAAATGAATAATCTGATGATGAGCCTATGTGAAAAGCTTTCAAATTGTTACAAATGTGAGAATGACCAGGAACATAATGTTTCCCCTGAAGCTAATGGTAGCGAGCAATTTGTAATGCCAGAAGGTAACAATTCTGGACAACAGTACTTTGTGACATCTGCGGTATAGGCATCTTAATTTTGGAGGACTGAAATCGCTCGGTAGCAAAAATATGGTGCTGGGACTGCCCAAAATTGAACTAGTGAGCAATCAGTGTGAAGTTTGTGTCATGAGATAGCAACAGATACAACAATTCAGCAAGTATGAAGCAAAAAGAGCAACATTACGGCTCGAGTCGATGCATTCTGATGTTTGTGGACCAATTACACCAACTACATTTGGCATAAACAGGTACTTCTTGATATTTACAGATGATTAAAGTGGAAAAACATAGATGTATATGATGAAAGAAAATAGTGAGGTATTCACCAAGTTCAAAGAGTTCAAGAACCTGGTGGAGAAACAGAGTGAGAACTACCTAAAACGTTTGAAAACAAATCTTGGAGAAGAATACACCTCAAGAGAGGTTGAAAGATTCTGCAAAGAGCATGGCATACAACATCAACTAATTATGCCACAAACTCCGCAACATAATGGAGTTTCCGAAAGTAAGAACAGAACCATCATGAACATGGTTTGTTGCATGCTAGAAAAGATAATGGTGCCAAAAGAGTGTTGGGGAGATGTTGTAGCCTGTGCGGTCCATTTATTAAATAGGTTTCCAACGAAGAGAATTGGTGACATCACTCTCGAAGAAGCATGGAGCAAGCAAAAACCAAGTGTCGATCATCTTAAAATTTTTGGAAGCATTGCATATGCTAAGGTGTAGGATGAGAAAAGAACAAAGCTTGAAGACAAAAGACAGAAGTGTATTTTATTAGGCTATATGGTGAAAATTGTAGAGAGTGCAAGTTGTACAACTCAATTACCTAGAAGATTATTATGTCCAGAAATGTGGCATTTGATGAAGAAAAATGCTATAACTGGAGCAACAACCAGCAAGGCGAGCAAAATCCAATAATTGAAGTTGTTGAGGAAAAAACAAGAAAAAACGGGCAACACCACCCAACCATGAAGGAAGCGAATCTGATAGTGATGATTCCAAGAGTCCCTCAGTAAGGAGAATGAGAATATTTAGGAGTTGCTTGACAACATAGAGGTTGTTGAAGATAATATTGATATATAATATAACAATTTGTGTTTATTTGTTGGATTAGACCCATTAACATTTCAAGAAACTGCGAAAGATCCTAAGTGGCAGAAAGTTAAAGAGGAAGAAAATCAAGCAATTCAGAAAAACAAAACCTGGGACCTTATTTCACTTTCAGAAGGTCACAAATCGATTGGCATGTAATGGGCATACAAAACAAAGATGAATGCTGAAGGGAAAATCGAGTGCCATAAAGCAAGATTGGTGGTGAAAGGATACAAGCAGAAATACGGGATTTATTATGAAGAGGTTTTTGCCCACGTAGCACGACTTGAAACTGTGATATTACTAATTTCCATTGTTGCTAAGAGAAATTAAAAGATCTATCAAATAGATTTTAACTTGGCATTAATGGAAAGTTTGAAGAAGAGGTATATATTGAGCAACCCCCTGGATTTCAAATTGAAGGTCAGGAAGACAAAGTTTATAGATTGAAGAGGCTCTTTATGGATTAAATCAAGCACTGAGAGCATGGAACTCGAGAATTGACTCTTATTTCTTAGAAAATGGCTTCGTGAAGTGTCCGTACGAACACTCACTCTATGCTTAGATGAATTATGCATATGACTTGTTATTGGTCTATTTGTATGTTGATGATCAAATCTTTACATGCAACAACTCTTCTATGATTAAGGAGTTCAAAAAGTCCGTAAAAAAAGAGTTTGAGATGACTAAGTTGGGTTTGATGCGTTATTTCCTTGGAACTGAAGTACATCAAGATACAACGAGCATTTTTGGATCACAAGAAAAATATGCTAAGGATACTGCAGAAATTTGCTGTGACAGATTGTGAGCCTGTGGACACACCAGTTGAGTGTGGGACTACTCTAACTAAAGAAGAAGAAGGCAAGTCAACAAATCCAACATATTTCAAGAGTCTTGTGGGATGTTTGAGGTACTTGACATGTACGAGGCCTGATATTTGATATGAAGTTGGGCTTGTTAGCAGATTTATAGAGACACCAAAGGCATCTCATTTGAAGGCAGCAAAAAGATTCCTTAGATATATCAAAACTACTATCGATTATGGAATGTAATATTCAACAAAAGAAAATCCTAAACTTGTTAGGTTCAGTGATAATGGTTGGGCCAGAAGTCGCGATGATCGAAAAAGCACTACATGATTCATTTTTTATTTTGTTGGTTGTGTATTTACTTGGTCTTAATGAAGCAGTCCATTGTTTCATTATCTACTTGTGAGACAAAATACATTTATACATCATCTTGTGTTTGTCATGCTATATGGTGAGAAAATTGTTCGGTAAACTAAAGTTATAGCAGAAGCATCTGACCAATCTATATTGACAACAAGTCAGCTATTGCATTTGCAAAGAATCCAGTTCATCGTGAACGTTCAAAGCACATTGATACCCGTTTTCATTTCATTATAAAGCATGTGAAATCAAAGGAAGTTGAATTGCAACATGTGAGCACAAGTAATCAAGTGACAGATATATTCAGACTGAAATTTTTCAGCATCGGAGAATAAAACTTGGGGTGTGTTCTTTTATCCATCTTTACAAAATTTTTACTATTCATTAAATTTTTTTCCTCGAAAAATCAAATCAAACATCTATTTTTATTTTCTTTATTATACTAAAAGTTCAATTTTAGATTCAAAATATTACATCAACACCTATTTATATCACATCATACAACTATTTAATTCAAATATTTTACTATTCAAATCTCAAACCAAAATTCAAACCTCTAAACAAACACACCTTTCATATGCAAGTTCAAGGAGTAACAAGTTTCACCGGAGAAAATGATAAAAATTAAACTTGTTCAAAAAATTTTCAAGCATTTATAGAGCAGTATTTTTGTCTAGCATTTACTGGCTTGTTAAAGACTGTTTATTTACTGAACAATATTTTTGTCTTTTTGTCTAGTATTTACTAGTTTGCTAAAGACTGTTTATTTACTATAGTTTATTGTTACAACAATTCCCTTGATATTTTTGTGTCTGCAATTATTAGTTGTTGTTTGTTGCCTTTAAAAATTTTTTTGTATCTCTTTATATTTGCAGGAGTTCGTAATGGGTGTAAGACAAGTAATATTTTTCTCCAAACATTGAGAGTGCACACACAACAATGACCAAACAATTCATACTGATTTACTACCTTTTTTTAGTTATTCTGCTTTTGTAATATCCAACAAATGTAACAAAGTGATAACTTTAATACTTTGATGGGCAAATTAACATAATTATATTATAAAAAATAATTTATACAAAAAAATTTAAATAAAATTTAGGGCTGGTGGTTCCTCAAGCCCCTTTGCACATAAGGCATTCTCCCATTGTCTTTAACATTTTGTTAAAAAAGTATGCACTATAGTTCATTAGATTGGTTTAGCATCATATATATATATATATATATAACGCATGAAGACTATGATTATTTTATTTCAATTCTTTCTTTTTTCTTATGGTACAATTTTCATAATTTTAAAAAAAGTATAGTAATTTTTTTTTATATATAAAACATTACTTTCAACTACCCTCTAACTATAAAATACAAATACAAAACGAAAATGAACAAAGTATAAATTAGTTTAAAAAATCATTTTAACATATGAAGCATAATAATTGATCAATCCTGCGAGATCAAACATGGCACATTGACTCAGACAAAGAAGAGATCAGAAAGAACAAACTCACAGTAACATTACAATGTAAAAACAAAAAAACAAAGATGAAGCATTTAACTTAAAACCAACGTTGAAAATAACAAAATCCTTCCTCTCTCCCTAAATCCTCTGTCATGAAAACTCCTATCATCACATCTCAAAAACCATTTTACAGACAACCATCGATCTAAATTACTACAACAGAAAACACAAACACAAAAACCCTGTTCCAAACATATTGCATCATATGTATCAGAATTATTGCACACACAAGAAGAACTTGAGCTACCTTGCTGCTGCTTTGCCTTTTTCCTCTTCTTCTTTTTTCTTTTCCTGGCATTCTTTAGGAAGAGGAACCACCCAGTAGAAGGGTACAGATCGAAGAGGCAAACAGCCATCCACTTCTTCGTCGCCGTCAAATGTCAACACAAAACTGTAGATTAAAAGCCAACATTGGAAATGAAATTTTTAAGCATTTGTTTGTCATTTAATCTTTATGGAACAATGGCAGGTAAAGAAACTTACTGGACAACCCTCTTTTGCTGCAATAGCATATCGAACATCATCACATGCAAAAGAAAGGGAGGATTGTTAGGCTTTGGTTTCCAAGTGTGCTTGCGATGGTTATGGCAAAATACCGAGCAAAGTATTCATACCTTGTGTATGCGGATCATCGTTGCCTTATATAGAGCCGTGGTTTCAGGATACACGGCCAAAACACGGCACTCTGGAGGGAAATTGTGAATGTTGGGAAAATCGGTTGACTTGGGCAACGGGATGATGTCTGATTTGGGCAGCTTGTATATCCTGAAAGCAAGGCAAGATTGAGCATCAGGTGGAAGTTATTGGTCTGACGGCGAATAGTTCAGCAATTTAAAATATAAGAAGTGATTAAATACAGAAGCACACTAAGGGAAGAAAGTGGCAACCTCGGCCAGGTCCTCTCATCGTTGTCACCTGGTACCTCATCCTGTACTTCAAACCTATATGGAACAACAATTGCAGAGATTCGTCGTTATACATTATGAGGCAATGCCGCCATCAACTTTTGAAGGAATGTTTAGTTTTTATATGTTGAAAAGCACTAACTCTTGGGTCGCCTCGTCAAAATTGATTACTCTAACCACAAACCACATTTCCGACTGGTTATCATCTACACCGACCTTCGCAGCTACCTGAATTATACAGATGTTTCCAATAAACATTAATGTGCAAGAAAGAAGAGAAAAACTTTGTACAAACAGAAATTTGACAGGGTTATAATTAACAGAATGCATACTTGTTCACCCTTCAAACTTGCAGGAGAGTCAGGATCACTTTGCATGGAGGGAGAGGACGATTTCAAGTAATCTAAATTGGCCTTCATAAACGCTTCTAACTCAACATCTTCTTCTGAAGTTAACGAAATTTCATGGTCATATCAGAAGAAAGGATGAATTTTCAAAAAAAAAAAAACCCAAATATAAATGTATTTCATTGAAGCATAGGAAAACCCAATCAATCTATGCTCCAAGTTTCAAGCACTAATAGTCCATCCTGTGCATATAGCATATAGGATTAGTTCAGAGCTTTGGCAATAAATGTTAATTGACTTCTACTGCAAGTACGCGTCGATTTATCTAGTGGTAGTAACAAAGGTACACTGAGCAGGGACTGAAAAATGGACCCAATTTATGCTTTACTGTAACTTTCTTCATGCAGCAATGATCCTATCATAGTATTATAGAGGAGAATTTATAAAGGATGCAAAGACTATTATAAAGGTATGACATCAAAAATAACTTAATACAACCAATTAATGGTCCCTGTTACTCCTAGATCATTCTACACAGAATGTTTGAGAATGCAGAAGAGTAGCTGCTAAATGAGAAAGTACTAACCAGTCATCCACTGTTCTCGGCCCACAATAGAATCCAAAAATGCATCAAGCTGTTTTACCAACTGATAGGAAACCCTGCAATAAAGAAATAAAGCTGATAAGAACAAATGTAAATCGTGATGCGTCTCAAACCTGTGGATTGCATGGCCTATTTACTAGACAGATATTAATGATATGTCTGGAAGAGTTAGTGAGTGAGTTATTAAAGATACGTAGATATGTAACGACAAGCACTAAATTGTTAATAAAACAGAAACATCTAAAGTGGAATAATGAAAATACACATACTCTGCTTCTCTCTCAGAAAGCTCTTTGCCTAGCATATATAGCATCCTGACTCTCGACAGGGACGAATCACCAAGTTTTTCAACAACCTCTGGAGCTGCATAACAAATAGATAAACAGAGAATGAGTAAACATAACTAATAGTGGAGCTTTTAGCTGATCTGATAAGTAAGACCTGCAAACTATTCTTAATAAGGAAGCACTATGCAGAGATGGACACCAGTGAAACTTAGAAATTTCAAATTCGGTATAAAAAGTAATATAATCTTGTGTAAGGGACTTTAGATCCTAGTTTCAATTAAGCATCAAGGATGTTGGAATAATGAACATTCACTTCGCAATTACTCCTGAACCGGATGATCGTAACTAAACTTTAAGATCACTTATTTACTCTTCTGCTTCAATAAATAATGGACGACAGAACAAAGACCTCCCGTGTGCCACGTGGTTTGAGAAAATAATAATAGTAGCAGATATGTCTCATTGCTAGATAACATATCATTACTATATTCTTACTGATCCTCCGGATTTGTTGAGCAGCATACGACAACATTCTAAATAATGCACGCCACGTGCCAATATCAAACAAAAACAAGATAACGAATAAATAGTAAAAAAATCTCTGAGTCGTGACGCAATCATTAATGCAGCATTCGTATCAGTTCCGGCTGCAAAAGGTATATTCACATTCAGCTGAAAAGGATATGCAGATTACTCTAATCCGAATTTGGTTCTATATCAAAGTAGAGCTGTTTTCAGCTCGATGTTCTAGTTAAACAAAATGTGTTTTTTGTGAATAATGAAGATCAGCCTAATCTCTTGAAAGCTAGGATAAGTACACATGAGAGCAATCTATCTCTGGCTAGAGTTAAACAATCAAGCCAAGGCCAATCCTAATCTGTAAATTAAAATAACTATTAGAAAAGGTTTGAAATCGTCCATTCCCTCCACTAGATTGGTTTTACAAGCAATAAAAACATTCAACTTCATTCAACATAAGTCAGTAAAAGGCAAACAAAACGTAAGGTTTAACTCCAACAGACATGATCATCCACCAGATAACTATTCAATGATGTGTATAATTAAACCCCACCAAATATCTGTCCCCACCATAAATTGCAAACAAAATTGGGGACAAAAGAAAATTAATTCACACTTCCCTATGACAATCCGTTGCAGTTTCGTGATTGAATAAAGTTCTGAAACTCAACATCGAACTACACATGTTCGAAATCAAACAGTAATCACGCAGACACTATACAAACATATATATATATATATATACACACATATATATCGTAAATCAAGTGTCACGGCTACTCACTGTTCTTCAGCTTCTCGTGAATCGTATTGATCTCGACAAGTATCTCTTCCAGTTGCTCCCTTACCCCTTCCAACTCGCTGGCATTGTGCATTATTGCCGCAATGTCCGACGACGACATCGTTTTCACCCCCCACCGAAGAACCTGCGCTTGTCGCTTCCCCTGATTCTAGATTCTCTACCAAGCTGTTGATCGCGATAAAGCTTGTACCGGGGGAGTTGTATATGCGAAAAAATCCTAATCGTGTGGGTATCAGAAGATATATTTCTTTTTAACGAAATTTCAGGGATTCAATATGAGCATCGCCCAGAACACCACCACCATCGGTATCGATATCATATATATATATACATACATACGATCACTGAGCCGTCAAACTCTCCCGATGCGCGCCACGTGGACTTTTGCATTTCATGTCATCGTTCGCCATCGACCCACTTTTGTTTTCTACCCAATATTTATTTAATATAATAATAGATTTTGTTTAAAATTACTTTTATATATTAAAAAAAAATGAAAATTAATTGACCAAAGTCTACTTTTGTTATGTAATTACATTAATTAGGTTTCTTAATTTGAGCACTAAATTACTTACTTAATTACACGCGAGTTGATATAATTCTGCATCCTTATATTGCTCCTGTAATTTCAAATTATTTCTAAATAAAATATATCATTAAATAGTTACCTAGTACAAAATTATTATGGACACTTATTTATTGTGTTCATTTTGAATGAAGTAACCAAAATTGTTGGAACAAGACCATATTGTGTACCTAACATAAATGCCTTCGTTCTGTGTTGGATATACTCTATTTAAAAAAAGATAACAATAATTAGGGTTGCATATTTTAAATTTAGATAGTATGTAATATATAATGTTGTCTGAATCAGTCTGGTCTTTTTGGATTCTTGATAATTCGAATTTTGAATATATATATATATATATAATCTTTTTTAAAAGAATAAATTGAAAGATAATTTTTTTATTATATTTTAAGCATAAATACACACCTTGCCTACACTATAGCTAATTCATTTATTTATTTTTACATACAATTTTTAAAAACTAAAATCGGATATAAAATTAATACCTGATATCTGATTGAAGCCCACAATTATACACAAATTCTAGAAACTAATATCAATCCAATTAACCCAAACTCAAACTACCCCGGAAGCCCACCCCAAGCACAATTTTGAACATGCATGGTTTAGTTATATAATTTTTTATACGAGGATAAACTGTTTTTTTTTTTAGTCTCGTAACTTAACCCCTCTATCATTTTAGTCTAAGTAAAAAATTTTCGTTGTTTTAGTCCAAGGCAGGAGACGCCCACGTAGCTCGGCGGAGGCCACGTGTCTGCCAGGTCAGCGAAATATGACGGACACGTGGATTTTAATTTTTTTAATTTATTTTTAATTTTATTTGCCGTTTTTAATTTTTTTATTTGGTTCAATTAAAAAAAAAAAAAAAAAAAAAAAAAAAAAAAATCTACGTGTCCGCCAAGTGTCGCTGACCTGGCGGGACACCTAGCGGACACGTGGCCTCCGACAAGCCACGCGGGCGTCTCCGGTTTCGGAGGATTAAAACAATGAAAATTTCTACTTATGAGACTAGTTTGCAATATGCTCCACTTACGACTAAAATGATAAGAGTGTCCAGGTACTAAAAAAACAGTTTACTATTTATATATAGTTTTGAAATGATATTATTTAACAAATATAAAGCGTTTGTTAAACTATATCTAAATTTATTAAATTATGGTTAACACACCAATTTTCAATTTTCATCTCTAGAAAATCAGGCATGCACTTTGATCAAAGAGAGTCGATTTTGGCATAAATATTTCAGTGCAGATCTGTGGTTAAAGTCTTTAAAATGAGTTTTGTATTTATAGTAATATAAATTATAATCTAATTATAGTCATAAGTGTTGAAAATAATCATTGATCCTTGCCTAAATATTTTCAGCCTCATGATATAGAGGTTCAAATGTTATTCATTTTCTAAAGAAAAATTAGACAAATTTTAAAAACTCATAATTAGGAACTTTTAGATAGTTTTAAGTTGATTGTTTAAAGGGATCATACCCACAGGGGGAACCATACAGGGGGAGGGGGATGCCCCCTTAATAAAAAAAATTATAATATATATTGTATAATATTATATAAAAATTATTATATTTATATATAATAATTTAGTTTATATTTATTAAAATATATATATATGCACACACATAGACCCGTCAAAATGAGCTAAATAAGTTAAAACGAATAAGATAAAATTTAGATTATCATTAGTTTAAATAATTTATTAATATTGTCTGCACGTATGTTTTTCTTTTCTAACTATGTTATTCATGACATTGTTATTTGTTTCGATTTTTCATCATTTGTTTTGTTCGTCTTCCGTTTTATTATTTTATAATCTTACAAATTCATAAAATTAATTATGATTTATTTTTAAAATGAAGTATTTCTTATTATTATTTTTTTTTAAATACACCAATTAATAATATTTAGAATTGAGAATTTTTATATTTGTTATTTATTTTAAAATATTTATTATTTAAATTCTACAATAAAATTATTTTTGCTATTCTTAAATATTAATTACAAAAATATTTATAATATTAATATTCTTTTCATATTTTTAAAAAGCCCGTGGGCTAGCCCGCTTAACTCGCCACCCGCCGGTGGGTTGGGTTGGGCTGATGAAATTTTGATCCGCCCCGCCGCGGGTTGGCCCGCAATCAACCCGCTTATTTGCGAGTTAGGGTGGGTTGTAGGCCAATCCGCCCCACTAACCCGTTTTGACAGGTCTACACACACAACCATAAGCCCCTTCCCTGGAAATTACAATTTACAGATACAATCCTAAAAATATTACAATTTACAAAAACAAACATAGTCGCACCCTCACCCCGCCATCCCTATTTTTCTTTTTCTTTTTTTTTTTTCCACAATGCCTAAAATCATCAAAACAAAAATAGCATTGTCACTCTTTCGTCATTGATGATTTTTGGGTTATTTTTACTTCTTCAATTTTCAACTACATTTTAATCGAAGTGTAGACATTAATTAATCTTCGGTAATTTTTGGGTTTTTTTTGTTTTATGTGTTTTGTTTGTTTCTAGTTATATGTCAGTGTATGGATTAATTTTTTATTAGTAAATATTAGTTTTATTTGATAATTTAATGTCAGATAATTTATATTGATTTATTTGTATTTTTTTTTGTTAGATATGTATTTATGGATAAATTTGTTATTAAATCAAAGAGGCCAACTTCGTCGGTTTCGAGTATATCTTTTCCCACATCAAGTAACGTGTTCGCTAGTCTATTTATGTCTTATGAGAAAGAATGTGCTAAAAAAAAAAACAAGTAAAAATAGAATTCTCAAAAAGCAATGTTGTTAGCGAGGGTTACGTAAACCAATTGATAGCTATTATATTGATATTGAAGATTAATTAAGAAGACGGTATTTAATTAAAAGGTCTTGTCAACCACATGATCATAATTTTTCAAAAACTTCATTAGATAAAATTATGAAAAAAGTTTCAATCAACTTGGTTTGATTAATATAAGTGTGTTAATACAGCGTACAAAAAGATGTTGCATTTTTTTTTGAATGCTACTTGTTTAATAGAGGTCACAAGCATGATGGAGATACTATTTTTTTATTTATCGAAGTTGGTTTTAGAGATTGGAAAAAAGCCATATAAAAATTTTAAGAACATAAAAGACCTTCAACAAATGCACATCGTTATGCTAAAATCAATGTTTGTCATTTCAAAATCAACGTCATAATATTGATTATATGTTGGCACAAAAAAAACCAAGGAGATGGAAGTCGATTACCGTGTTCGATTAACAACAATCATGGATGTAGTTCATTTTCTTTTACAACAATGTTTCGCTTTTCGTGGGCACAATGGGTTAGAGACGTCAATGCAGAGAGATAATTTTCTTGCACTCTTGAAATGGTATTGTGATTAGAATGAATAAGTGAAAAAAGTGATGAATTCAATTGCTCCAGGAAATAATCAGCTCACTTCTTCTAAAATTCAAAAAGAAATTATTATGCAACATAAGTGAGAAAAGTTATCTTTAATGAGATTGGAGATAAGTGTTTTTCTCTTTTGATTAATGAAGTTTGAGACAACTCGGTAAAAATACAAATGTCTATATTTTTTAGATTTGTGAACAACAAAAAAGAGGTGGTTGAGCAATTTTTTAAAGTTATGTACATTAATAATACTTTTTCAAAGTCTTTAAAGAATTTATTGATATTTTTTTTGCAAAACATAGTCTATTATTTTCAAAGCTTAGAGGTTAAGATTATGACGGAGCTTATAATATGTGTGATAACTTCAAATGTTTGAAAGCACTTATTTTAAACGAAAATCATCAAGCACATTATGTTCATACTTTGTTTACCTCCTTCGGTTAGTAGCTTCAAAGGATCATGCATTGGTAAGTAATTTTTTTGATCATTTAATTATAGTTATGAATTTTGTTGGAGCTTCATGTAAACAAAGAGATGTTCTTCAGTAAAAACATCACGATGCTCTTCTACGACGCATAGAGAATGGTGAAATTGATACGAAAAAAGAAAAAAAAAATCAAAAAATGGGTTTAGTTTGTTCAAGTGATACTCGTTGGGGCTCTCATTATAGGACAATTAACCATATTTTTGACATGTGAATGCAATTACAAATGTTTTTTTGAAATTATTGTTGAGGATGACATTGATAAAGAAGCCGAGGTGCTGCTGCATGTTCAATCGAAAAAATATTGAGTTTTGGATTTTTTTTTTCATTGCTCATTTAATGTTCACATTATTAGAGAAATAAATCCGTTGTTAGCTGTCTTGCAATGAAAATCTCATAATATTGGTAATGTTGTATCTTTGATTATAGAATTGAAAAAATTCCAAGAGGATGATAGTTGGGAGAAAGTCTTGAAAATTGTCTTGGACTTTAGTTTAACTAAAGATATTTTTTTGTTGAATATAAAAGACCTTGTGCCTGGTTGAGTTAGATTTCAAAGGCAAGTTGATGGTCAACCAAAGACTTATATTCTTCTTCATGTCTACTTCTATCGCATATTATAAATATTAACTAGTTTATTTCCTTTACAAATTATGAGTTTGTTTTACCGTTATATTAAATTATTGATCATATCACACAAGAAAATGATAATTATTTTGCAGAAATAAGTTTAGAAATTCTTTTAAGCATTTTATGTCTTGATCCTAAAAATTTATTTTCTAGCTTTGATATTGATAAA